ACGTCGACCTGGATGTAGCGTTGGGGCTGCTCGGCTGCGTAGCTGTCGGCAGGAAGGTCCTTCGGCCAGGGAACGGCAAAATGCGAGCCGCCTCTTTCGGCCAGCACATGCTCGGCTCCAGGGCATGCTGGATGGCTTTGACGACGGTTTCGGGGAATACGTCTATCCCGCTCCTTCCTGTGAACTCGCCCCGTGCGCAGGTCATTAGAACGTCAACATCGCCGTAGTCCCTCTTGGCAGGACCGTCAATGGGACTCGCCACGTAGATGTACAAGTCGCGGAGAGCGCTCTTGCAACGGCTCTTTACCAGCTCGTATACGTGAGATGGCATGCGGGGTGTGTAGAGGGGATTTTCTCCGGAAGCAAACGCTGAACCGCCCATGACGCTGGTGCACTCTAGCAAGCGGGTTCGTCGACTTGGGTAGGTATGGTAGTGAAGGCGCACCGTTGTGGAGATTTTGGAAAGAGGCTGTGATCGCTTAAACTTGTCTGTTGGAGATTTTTTGGAAGCGTGAAGATAGCAGAGCTGTCAGCCATCAGTCACTCGTGGTAGAGGAGCATGGGGCAACCCATATGAACAGTCACCGTGTCTCTTCCACAGTCGAACGATATAGCCTCTGTGAATACACTTCAAATGGCTTAGGATGGTCATACGCATGCGAATATGGTATTCATAGTCGATCCAAATGTCTTTTTGCACCACCAGACACGTTGGTTTCGGTTGAGAGAGCTGGGGGTCGTAGCCCTGTCATCAGCATCGGCTGACTCATTCGGGGAACAGAGGCTGAGCAAACAATTTCTCTGCAAGCTTTCAAACGCGAAAGTCTGAGGCCATGACTGACGCCCCTTGTGTCTTGGGTTCGCTTTCCAGCTTCCCAGGTGACTCTGGAGGACGGAGAAGTGAGGTGTGACGCAGGTGAGAAGACGCTGGTCATCCGTTTGTCCATGCACTGGTGACTTGGACTGTAACCGTGTGATGCTCTTTTTCGACACTGTAGCTTCGCACGGTATCACCTTTTGTTCTTGCTGCCTTTAGAATCCATCTAAGCTTTATAAATATTCCTGCATTGACATGATATACTGAACTAGCCTTTGTCACTCTATTCAGATCTCACTTGTTAGGGGTCACGTCTCTGTTGCACTATGCGACCATCAGGGCAGCCCAGCTTCCGAACACGATAATCATATACCAGTCGAGAGCTTTTGGCTATTCCTTTCAAACGATGAACAACCTTGCTTCATCCGCGTTGAGCGAACATCATCTGCGCTTGCCAGGTACTCTCCAACCCTGAGGTTTCTCCTTGTCTCGACACTCAAAGATGGAAACTGGGCGCAATGATGATTGTTGCAACCTTGGCGCACTGAGCACTGCGTCATAGGCCATCGGTCGTCGAAACCTCACACAGATCAACATGCTCTTTCTGGCTTGGCCCCGCAAGCCAGGCTGCACCTGCTCTCTCTCGTTGCGGGCGTAGCAGCACTTGCTCTCTTGCCTTCGATATCGGAGCCTAATCACGGCATATCAGGCCTTGGAGCCATATCCTCACCTTCCTGGACTTGTCTGCTTCTTCCCTATCGCCCCCAGCTCCAAATCACGGCTATTCCACGATCACTGCTGAGCAGATTGCATCTTGATACTACGTCCCTCTCATCCCCAGCACTGCAGCTAGTTCGTCACCGCCCGCCATGAGCTGTCAGAGCAATGGGACGGCGGCCTCGCAGTCTAGCGGACCTGCCAGAAACCCCGCCGAGGCCGAGCTTCGTCTGCTTGACATGGACGGCAGACTGCCTCAGACTAGGGGTTATCGCAGTCAGCGCCTCTCCATCCCAGTCCCTGTGGCTGACGGCAAGCGTAAAGCTCCCAATGGCCAGGTTATTAGAGCCGTCTTTGACTTCACCACGTTCACGGACCAGCTCGAGTTCTACTATGCGCCTGATCGACATGTGCAAGCAGGGCTCCTCAGGATTCGCTAGTAAGTAAAATTCTCTGGAAGAGCCCTTGGCATTGGCTGATCTCCATGCAAGTGATAATTTCTACGCCGTCAAACTCTACACCAGCGAAAACATTGAGATCATCGTCCACCGCCAGATACTCATCGCTGGTTCCCTCTACTTTGACTCTGCCCTGCGCGGCTTCTTCCGCGAGGCCGACACAGCCGAGATCTCGCTCGATGATATTTCCTTTGACGACCTCATCGCGTATCTGAAGCTTGCCCACCGATACTTCTTCCTTCGATTCTCCGAGGAAGGCATGCCATCTGGTAATCTTTGGAAAGCTCAAGTTGAGAGGTATGACCGGAAGATCTTCAGGAGGACTTGTTTTAAGATGCCCTTGATGGACCTTTGCTCCATCCTACGCATCTTCGTCCTTGCCGATCGCTTCGCTTCGAGCAGCCTCGTCGTTTTCATCCGCCAAATCTTCCTTAAGCTCCTGGCGGCCACAAGGGACTTTTGGTTCGACAACAAGCACGCCAACGCCGATTATGAGCGCGAGGAACACCACGCCTTCATGAACAACTATTTGGATGCGTATCAGCTCCTCACCAAGTACGCATGCGCTGACGTCAGAGACTATCTCAAGAACTCCATCATGGAGTCCTGGGTCAAGTTCCTTGGTTACAACGAGGGACTCAAATACGCCATGAAGCGCAAGATATCGGCCAATGGCGATAGATACAGCGCCTTCGAGACCGCTTGGACAAAGTTTACAATGCCAGGGGCATTCAGGCTCTTCGAGTCTGATGACTACATCGGCTACAACGAAGACGAATACTTGCGCAACAGGGCTTTTACCGCTGCATGTCTTACACATTGCACAATAGAACACCGCAACGCTCTGTTCGCGCAACTCAAGCGCCGCGCTCTCAAGCACAGACTGAGAGCTAGCGTTGAGCAGCGACCTTTTCCGGGTGAGATTACTTGGACATCGGTTGTTCGTCTGGCAGCCGGCGACAGTATCAGGGTCATCAACGAGGAACTGCTCATCCCCTCAACTATCGAGTCCGATCTTTCACCCACCATGAAGACCTTGACCATGGAGGATAAAGCAACGAGCGACAGAGTCTGCGATCACATTACTCATCGCGACGGTAGCAATGTCGCCTTTGATCTTCCCAACATCGACAATGTCAAATTGACCTTGAGCGATTCCGAAGACTCAGACGATTCGTACACTACCCAGTCCGACACCACCAATGATGGAGAGTGGGTGTCCTACGTACCGCAGCCCTACATGTCGCATTCACGAATCCTCGCCAGTGCGATCGACAAGGCAGAGTCGAACAGAGCGAGTGCCCAGAGTGCTGGTGTTGATCCCGCTGCTCAGCACTAGGGTGACAAGAAAGAAGATCAGCTCCAGCGCGGCGGCAATTTGACGGGCGGCAAGCTCCCTCGCAACGACGTCTCTGGCGGTCACCTCAAGGCCCGCAAACCCAGCAACGGAAAGGAGCTGGAGCTCGACAGCGACTCTCCTCATGCTCCAATCAACGATCCCGACTATCTCTGCGAGGCGGAAAGGCAGAGGATCAAGGGTAAAGCCAAGGAGATTTTCCAGCCGATAGTTTCGGTTTGGGTACGCAAGAGCTTCAAGGGCCAACAGAGGCTGGGCGGCGCGCATGTGCGAACAGCCCCGTCGGGTCGACGCAATGGGAAGAACGCTAAAATTTTTGAGTTGCTGCACGAGTACCGCCAGTGATTCTAGCACTATTGTACGGGTGTGCTGCTGTCTGTTCAGGTTCGGTTTGTTTCTACGGCGTTTGCGCCTAGGCAGGAGATCTGCTTCAGGGGCATGCGTGTCAGACGTTTGATTTGTCAAGGGGATTTTGTACACTACCAGGTTCCTACCAGTGTGGTCAGAATAGCGTTGAGTCCATGCGCATCAAGATCAAGGTGAAAATTCCGTTGGCAGCTTTTGTCAATGTGGCCACCGTGTAGCATCGTTTGAGGCAATTGAATCTTGAACCACATCTTACGTCAAGCGCTGGCACTCGAGATTCTTTAGGAATTCCTTCTCGATAACACCTTGCTCCATCTTCGCCGCTATCCGACAGGAAGAAGGCGGGTGTAACAGGCTGCCATGTCGCCTTCTTGACCACAACAGTGGTTTCAGCTCTAGTGACAGTCTTTCCGCAGCCAAAAATTGACGTGTCCGTGACCACCAGGGCCAGCCAGACGCTTGAGTGTAAATCGGTCTTAATGGAGTCCATGCGATCCCTAAAGCCGGCATCTGTCTCGCCCCTTCTCCGTGGGGAGCCAGGTGGTAGGATGAGCCCCCTCCACTTCCCGATGCGTGACCAGCCTGCTGGGCTTCCATCGGCCCCACCATGACTTCTGACCATAGAGCTAGATGGGTCGGTAGTTGGGATATGAAGTGAAGCGCAGCAAATGGATGATCTGAACCCGATTTCGATTCGTTCAAGTTCATTTGCGTGCTCGTGGTTGCTGGGTATTCCCTCCTGCGAGGCTGTCAATACGCTTCATCTCGGCGTGATGGCCGCGGGGTAGACGGAGAGGGCACCGCTGTTTCACGTGCGTCTTTCAACATTGGCGACTCAAAACGCCCTGTCGAAAACACCGTCAGTGCTGATATTTGGTTATGGAGACAAGCGCTTGCCGTGACAGCCCATCAACAAACTCAGTGCATCAGGCCCCAGGGAGGCGAACCCCAAGCGTCTTCCTTAGGGTGGTTTAAGATGCTTCAGAGGCTCTCAAAAGCACGCAAAACCCCCCTCTCCCCCAAGTTTTACTCCGATATCATGAAAAGACAGTGTAGGTAACAACATTGCCGACCTGGCAGATAGTATGAAGTTGGACCTCTTGAGATTATAGGCAAACATTCGAGGAACTTGTCGCTATTGCAGGCTCAAGATAAAATATCACAGTAGATACAGCACCTCCTGCTACCTCGTAGTAGTTCGAGGACTCGAGGAAGATGCAATCTCCAACCCGCAGGCCATGATGCATCGCTTCACAAGCTCAGCGGACGGACTAGGTGGACTTCGAACGTCAAGCCACCGTGAGATGAGACTTCGAGGTTTATCCATGCTACGCGGCAATCGATACGGGCAAATTCGCTTGTGCATAGTCTCGTGATGTGGCATTGTCGTGAATCTCTCGGGAGTCGGCTCCAGCGCGCGACGTCGGACGTCGGGCCCACTATGGTCGGAGACAACCCCGATGGCAGGCCATGTATTGTTCTCAGCTCAACACCATGCCAGACCACGATCTCCGTGATCCGGCGTTTGATCACAAGTAAAGTGTCTAGAGGCAAGTTATTAATAAGAATATGGCCCTCGCTGTGAGTGCCGTGATCGAGGCAACATCTCGTCAGCCATCAATCATCAACATCCTCATCTCCTCACCACATACTCCACCACCATGCCGAATTATATCAAGTCCGCTCAGCGCACCTCAGCCGGGTTCGCGGCTTCTTCACCCGAAGTCGCCACACTCGTGAGCAACGTCATTTCGGAGATTCGAACCCAGGGTGATGCAGCGGTGCGGAAGTACTCTGCTAAATTTGACTCTTGGGACCGTCCTTCCTTCAAGCTTTCTCAAAAGGAGATTGACGAGGCAATCGCACAGGTATCTCCACAGGTCATCAGCGACATTAAGGAGGTGCAGGAGAACGTGAGGAGGTTTGCACTCGCCCAATTGGCCTCTCTCACCGAGTTTGAGCTGGAGATCCAGCCGGGCGTATTCCTCGGGCAGAAGAACAATCCCATCAACCTTGTCGGCTGGTAAGACAGAACCATGTTTCTCTGCACCAGGGCTTGTATTGGTTCTCAGAAAACGAAGCTGACAAGATGTACGACAGTTACATTCCTGGAGGTCGATATGCGCTGCTCGCCAGTGCACACATGACCATCCTGACGGCCAAGATCGCCGGCGTCAAGTCCGTGGTTGCCTGCACACCCCCTATCGGCGGCCTCCTTCCCGTCGAGACCATCGCAGCCATGCACCTCGCCGGCGCTGACGAGATCCTCATCGTCGGCGGTGTCCAAGCCGTGGCGGCCCTGGCCGTCGGCACAGAATCCATCGCAAAGGTCGACTTCCTCGCCGGACCTGGCAACAAGTTCGTTGCCGAGGCCAAGCGCCAGCTCTTTGGCGAGATCGGCATCGAACCTGTTCGCTGGTCCGACGGAGGTCCTTATCGTGGCTGATGACAAGGCTGACCCGTACACGTGTGCCGTGGACCTGCTCTCCCAGGCGGAACACGGCCCGGACACGCCCGCGGTGCTCATTACGACATCGGAGACGGTGGCCACGAGCACTATTTCCTGGGTGGAGGAGCTTCTCAAGATCCTTCCGACGGCTCCCATCGCCTCGGTCTCCTGGAAGGATTTCGGCGAGGTCGCTGTGACGGAGACGCTCGATGAAGCTTTTGCTCTTGCCGATGAGTATGCCTCGGAACACGTGCAGATTCTGACCGAGCGTCCCCGCGAGGCTTTGGAGAAGATGACGAACTACGGTGCCCTTTTCCTGGGTGAAAACACCTGTGTGTCATATGGCGACAAGGTTCGTAGTGACCAAGAAGTAGTGAAGTGCGGGCACTGACCAATGCAATAGTGTATCGGGACGAATCATGTCCTCCCAACCTTGAAGGCTTCGCGGTACACCGGTGGTCTTTGGGTTGGCAAGTACCTGCGAACGCAGACATACCAGGAGGTGCGGAATCCCCAGGCCAGTGGAGAGCTGGGCAGGCTGTGTGGTCGGGCGGCCCGGGCGGAGAAATTTGAAGGCCACGCGCGGTCTGGTGATTTGAGGGCACAGAAGCATCTGGGGGACAAGGTCGCATGGATTGAACAGAGCCGTGTCCTGACGTGAGGGGGGAGACGGGACATCATACATTCCCGGTTGAAAATGAGGCCAGAACTTAGTTCATCGTCGCCTTGTCTTCTTTTGCGTTTTTGAGGATCCATTCCTTGAAATGAAAACAATTGATTTACGACGTGATGATTAAAGTGCAGTGTCCATTCAGTGCCATGTCTGGCGGGCTTCAGGAGCTACATGTCACATGCAAGACATAAACAGAGCTATGTTCAGCAGGTTACGTGTTGCACTTCGCAGCGGAAGTCTCGAAATTGAATCGCCACTTTAGATAGCATTTCTTTCATCCTCACCCCAATTTAGTCAAAGTGACACGTTTGAATCATTTTCTCATCTTCAGCCATTCTTCGAAAACCGCCCTCAACATTTCCTCAGTCGCATTTTCCCACAACATCATGAGGGCCTCGTTGCCGCAACCTTTAGCAAACGTGTTCGCGACAGACTTTTTGAACTGAATGTGTGCCGGTAGCACATCGTAACAAGCATCCCATCCCCTACAAAAGACTTGGATAGTGAGGTGACGGGCTACCTCATCTTTGAACTGAAAGGCTTTATTGCTTAGAGATTTCAGGCAGTCATGAAGAATGGCGTCGATTGATTTTGACGCTTCGTGTTTTATTGCCTCATGCTGGAAATAGTTCGCTGCAGTCCAGAGTCTGATACTATTGGCGAGCCGATTCGATTCAGGCATGTTTTCGTAACACACTTTGAAGGTGCTGCACAAGGCAGCTGATACGCTATCGAGATGTAATGGCCAAGCTCTGGGAGTAAGGATGGGGACTTCCAACTTGATAACATGAGTGCTTTCTCTGCAAATGGCTTAGTCACGGCCGTCTTGAAGTATTCAGATCCGTGGGTGAGGATATTTTGATGAACAAGCCACTCTTTATCGCCACATTTCACGGTGATGATTGGCTGTGGGTCCCTGGGAATTCCCAAGTTAGTACATCTGGCTACACATTCGCTCCAGAGAGTATAGAGCGGCGGGAACTTGCCACAAGTTGCACACTTGGTTCTTGACGATCTCCAGCGTCTTGGTATGAGCTTCAGCCCCTGCCGGGGAAGCTCGGCTAGCCATGATGCCAGCTACTGGTGGTCTGAAGCCTCAAGATAGATTCGAAAGGCTGAACACAACGTTGTACTGAGTTCGTCGACCCCCGTATTGAAACCACGAATGAGATGTATGGTTCAGGTTCAGGTGGTGAACGGAAGCCCTGCGCCTCTAATATTCGGGGGAAGCAAGTTGTGTAGTACCTCGAAAGTTCGGAAACCCCGGTCCTTCCTTTGGATGAGGAAAGACTTATTTTGTGATGAGCGTGGCTGGGAAAGAAAGTAAGTGGCCACAGATTCACCTCGTAATTCTTTAGGGCAACCACAAGAATAAGACAATTACAAGAGACAGTCCCGTTGTTCCATACATTGAGTGGGATATATGGGCTAATCTAGTTAAAATCTAAGATATGCCAGAGTCATTCTGCAATTGCCAACGATCTCGTTGTCTCAGCTTCAAGGGCTGCGTCCTCGCCTGCATCAGCCCCTGAAATATGTATGTAGTGATTTGAAAACTGTATATCAGGATATCCGGCTCGACGACTCGGGCCTCAGATTGCATATGCAAACCAAGGTATGGATACGTACATGTGGGTCTCGACCTCACACTGTCATCCGCCTGTCTGATCGCCAACTGTGGAAGGGGCAACAGCCATAAAAGAGCAGTGCAACTTCATCAAAACATCATGAGCCAGCAGGACGGTGGCGCCCCTCAGGGGCACACCCGAAATAAGTCGGTCACAAAATGTAAGTCGTCCGGGTGAAGCTGCATCCCGCAAGCCCCATAAGCCTACACCAAGGCACTCAACCACAGGACTCTGGCGGACTGAGCGACTCACGACATGCCATAGGCGTATGCTAACCCATCAACAGCGTCTCGTCCAAGGTCGTCGACTAAGGGCCCCCTCGATCTTGCAGAGTAGGACCCCATCCCCATTTGCGACAGGGACGATGCTGACACTCCCAGCACCCCCCTCAACGACCCCCTCTCGTCGCCCTCACGCCTCGAACCCCTCCAGCCCAAGCGCGCCTCGAGCCAGCGCCCACCAGGCCACCCATCACCGAGCTTCCGCTCGCCAGCCCCGTCACCCGCCCCGCCTGCCGTGCGCGCCTCGATCACCAAGAACTTCAGCTTCCTGCTGCGCCCCGAGATCTACCAGCCCCTGCTGCCGCTCAACGTGCCCGTCGCCTTCCGCAACTCGACCAAGCAGCCGCGGCCTGATGCGCCGCTCGCCGAGCTGCTCAGCCAGGGCCACTTCCGGGCCGCGGCCATCTCGGCCGTGCAGGAGCTCACGTCAGCGTCGCCCCGCGCGGCGCCCGTCGACCCGACCGACTACCGGCGCATCTTCGACCTGCTGTACACGCGGCTCGCGTGCCTGACGCTCTGCGACGCGACGTCGACGGCGGCGCAGGAGGTGCGGGCGCTCGAGGACCTCAACAACGCGGCCATCTACGTCGACGACGACACGGGCGAGCACCTCGTGCCGTGGGCGCTGCGCGTGCTCAACGTGCGGCTGCAGGCGCTCGGGTTCGGCGACCCGCGGCGCGCCGTCATGAGCTACCACGACCTCGCGCGCGAGGCACGCGACCAGGGGGCGCGGGCGGCGGCACGGCACGACGCGGCGGGGCGGACGCTCTGGCGCGGGCGGTTGCAAACCTCGGATCCAGGACGCCCGACACACTCGTAGATATTAAGAACCTTACTTGGGGGGTTTGGATAGATACTTCAGAATCCTTTGCCTGGTTACTGATAAGTAACCTTCGCCATCATAAAAATGACATTCGCACGCCCGTTCCTTTCAAACCAGACACACTTAGTTTGTCGTAAGATTATTAACTATAGCTATACCTTAGTATATTTTTCTAGT